GCCCCGTGGAGTCTCTGTGGAGGACACAGGCGTACCTTACATCGCCTCTGTTAGAGGCATTTCGATGCTCATTCAGGCGGACTGTAAGATCTCTGCCTGTCTCGCCTACATATTTCTTGGGACACAACACAACGCCTGCTGTAGAAGTTAGAGGTGTGGGGCTGCGTTTCGTAGTGAGGTCTTTGATAGATGATGTGTTTATGGTGGAAACGTTGATGTTACTCATAGCAAGTGCCCGGCGAGTATTCGTGGCAACATCGCCACATGGGAGTACTATGAACTGTTTTGGGGGCTGTTCCATGGGCGGTTTGTTGAGGATAGCTTGTGCCTTGAGTCTGCAATCTCGGATGAAGAAAGATGGGAACTGAAGACGTGTAAAGGCTTGTGTTATGTAAGTGCATTCTTCTTCTAGAAAACAAGGGCTGGATATGCGAAGAGCTCTCAAGAAGAAGCCAATGAGGACTCTCTCTTAGCGGGGGTGTCTTGGTGTGAATAAAAGTGTATAAGATCGTCCTTGTTGGTAGGTTTTCTATACACTTTGAAGAGAAGTTTGTCACTGTCGGGAGATCTGCACAGTAGAACGTCGAGGAAAGGAAGTTTGCCATCATTTTCGAGTTCAAGTGTAAACTTTATTGATGGTTCAACTGCATTGATCTTGTTGAGAAGGGCCTGGATATTGAGACGTCTCGGATAGAAAACCAATATATCATCAACGTATCTTAGCCAGGTAACGGTGTTGGGATTGAGGGTGCTGAATTTCTCTGTCTCCAGGTTTTCCATGAAGAGGTTGGCAAGCACAGCACTGAGCGGGCTGCCCATTGCCATCCCAAAGCATTGTTTGTAACAGTTGTCCTGATACTTGAAGAAGTTGAAATTAACACAAAGTTCCACTAGATTGATGAAATCTAGAAGAGGTAAAGGGAGGTCGTGGTTTTCAGTGAGTCTCTGTCTCAGAATGTTGATTGCAGCGTCAGTAGGAACGTTGGTAAAGAGGGCTGTGACATCGAAGGAAGCCATGCTTTTGTTTTTGACGTTCAGGTTGGAAATTCGGGAGAGAAGGTCACCTGAGTGTTTGAGGTGGGCTTGACTGATGGTGCCCAGAAGCGCTGAAAGGTATTTGGCAAGGTGGCCGGCTAGTCTGTGTGGTGCACTCACTGCTGCAGCTACTGAGCCTTCAAGACCGGTCATTCCCAGAAGATACATCCAAGCACTCAGGAACTTGGCCAACAACGATGATATCGTCATTACAACCGCTGACAAAGGAGGTGGTGTGGTGTTACTCAACACTGTCGACTACAACAATAAAGTCTTAAATCTTCTCAACGATGCCAACACATACCAGCCTGTATCGGAATCAGTGCTACTTCAAAGTACCCAGATTTTCCTTCAAAAGGCTCGTAGCATCTTACGAAAATCAGAACAAGGCAAAAAACTACTTAAACTTTTACCATGTCAACCGAAACCAGCACGCCTGTATGGCCTTCCTAAGACACACAAACCTGGCATCCCACTACGGCCTATCACTTCGGGCATAGGGAGTGCACCACACAGACTAGCCGGCCACCTTGCCAAATACCTTTCAGCGCTTCTGGGCACCATCAGTCAAGCCCACCTCAAACACTCAGGTGACCTTCTCTCCCGAATTTCCAACCTGAACGTCAAAAACAAAAGCATGGCTTCCTTCGATGTCACAGCCCTCTTTACCAACGTTCCTACTGACGCTGCAATCAACATTCTGAGACAGAGGCTCACTGAAAACCACGACCTCCCTTTACCTCTTCTAGATTTCATCAGTCTAGTGGAACTTTGTGTTAATTTCAACTTCTTCAAGTATCAGGACAACTGTTACAAACAATGCTTTGGGATGGCAATGGGCAGCCCGCTCAGTGCTGTGCTTGCCAACCTCTTCATGGAAAACCTGGAGACAGAGAAATTCAGCACCCTCAATCCCAACACCGTTACCTGGCTAAGATACGTTGATGATATATTGGTTTTCTATCCGAGACGTCTCAAATATCCAGGCCCTTCTCAACAAGATCAATGCAGTTGAACCATCAATAAAGTTACACTTGAACTCGAAAATGATGGCAAACTTCCTTTCCTCGACGTTCTACTGTGCAGATCTCCCGACAGTGACAAACTTCTCTTCAAAGTGTATAGAAAACCTACCAACAAGGACGATCTTATACACTTTTATTCACACCAAGACACCCGCGCTAAGAGAGGAGTCCTCATTGGCTTCTTCTTGAGAGCTCTTCGCATCTCCAGCCCTTGTTTTCTAGAAGAAGAATGCACTTACATAACACAAGCCTTTACACGTCTTCAGTTCCCATCTTTCTTCATCCGAGATTGCAGACTCAAGGCACAAGCTATCCTCAACAAACCGCCCATGGAACAGCCCCCAAAACAGTTCATAGTACTCCCATGTGGCGATGTTGCCACGAATACTCGCCGGGCACTTGCTATGAGTAACATCAACGTTTCCACCATAAACACATCATCTATCAAAGACCTCACTACGAAACGCAGTCCCACACCTCTAACTTCTACAGCAGGCGTCTACACTGTCCCCTGTGGGTTCTGTCCCAAGAAATATGTAGGCGAGACAGGCAGAGATCTTACAGTCCGCCTGAATGAGCATCGAAATGCCTCTAACAGAGGCGATGTAAGGTACGCCTGTGTCCTCCACAGAGACTCCACGGGGCATTTGATGAACTGGAATGAGGCACAACTCGTTCTCACCGAACCAGACCTCAGACGCCGACGGTGCCTAGAAGCCTCACTAATCGCCGTCACCGACACTATAGAACGCAACACTGGAAACTACAAAATTTCAAAAACATTGGCATACATGATACTTAAGCAACACCAACCCAACAACACAGGAGTCACATGATTTCATCGTCTACCCGTCCTCATCATAGGTAGAGGTTGTTTTGATAAAGACCTGCCTCGCATGAGCCAGTAGGCCTTCTACAGTGTTCCTCCATTCTTATGTTCTTATGACATTCCTCAGGTCACGTGCGTCACATCTCACTCTCCGCCTATATAAATATGTTATAGTGTTTGCTTACGTGTCTTTCTAAACCAACTTGTCGGTATTTATTACCAAGGTTTATACCAGCAGTAGAAGTGATATTAGCTTGGCGGCTGTAATACAGACATGTTTAACTTTCTCTCTAGAACAGTAATGTTTAAGATAGAGAGAGAGAGAGAGAGAGAGAGCGAGAGGAGGTAGGGAGGGAAGGAAGGAAGGAAGGAAGGAAGGAGAGATTCTTAAGAGAAGTACTCTTGTGATAAGTATGTTTGCGTGCAGCATGAGCGTGGTTGTATTTCCAGGCAGTGTGTGTTTATAACGTGGTTGTATTTCCAGGCAGTGTGTGTTTATAACGTGGTTGTATTTCCAGGCAGTGTGTGTTTATAACGTGGTTGTTGTATTTCCAGGCAGTGAGCGTGTATAACGTGGTTGTTGTATTTCCAGGCAGTGAGCGTGTATAACGTGGTTGTTGTATTTCCAGGCAGTGTGAGTGTGTATAACGTGGTTGTATTTCCAGGCAGTGTGAGTGTGTATAACGTGGTTGTATTTCCAGGCAGTGTGAGCGTGTATAACGTGGTTGTTGTATTTCCAGGCAGTGTGAGTGTGTATAACGTGGTTGTATTTCCAGGCAGTGTGAGTGTGTATAACGTGGTTGTTGTATTTCCAGGCAGTGTGAGCGTGTATAATGTGGTTGTATTTCCAGGCAGTGTGTGTATAACGTGGTTGTTGTATTTCCAGGCAGTGTGTGTATAACGTGGTTGTTGTATTTCCAGGCAGTGTGAGCGTGTATAACGTGGTTGTTGTATTTCCAGGCAGTGTGAGCGTGTATAACGTGGTTGTTGTATTTCCAGGCAGTGTGAGCGTGTATAACGTGGTTGTTGTATTTCCAGGCAGTGTGAGCGTGTATAACGTGGTTGTTGTATTTCCAGGCAGTGTGTGTATAACGTGGTTGTTGTATTTCCAGGCAGTGTGAGCGTGTATAACGTGGTTATTGTATTTCCAGGCAGTATGAGCGTGTATAACGTGGTTGTTGTATTTCCAGGCAGTGTGAGCGTGTATAACGTGGTTATTGTATTTCCAGGCAGTGTGAGCGTGTATAACGTGGTTGTATTTCCAGGCAGTGTGAGCGTGTATAACGTGGTTGTTGTATTTCCAGGCAGTGTGAGCGTGTATAACGTGGTTATTGTATTTCCAGGCAGTGTGAGCGTGTATAACGTGGTTGTTGTATTTCCAGGCAGTGTGAGCGTGTATAACGTGGTTATTGTATTTCCAGGCAGTGTGAGCGTGTATAACGTGGTTGTTGTATTTCCAGGCAGTGTGTGTATAACGTGGTTGTTGTATTTCCAGGCAGTGTGAGCGTGTATAACGTGGTTGTTGTATTTCCAGGCAGTGTGAGCGTGTATAACGTGGTTATTGTATTTCCAGGCAGTGTGAGCGTGTATAACGTGGTTATTGTATTTCCAGGCAGTGTGAGCGTGTATAACGTGGTTGTTGTATTTCCAGGCAGTGTGAGCGTGTATAACGTGGTTATTGTATTTCCAGGCAGTGTGAGCGTGTATAACGTGGTTGTATTTCCAGGCAGTGTGAGCGTGTATAACGTGGTTGTTGTATTTCCAGCAGTGTGAGCGTGTATAACGTGGTTATTGTATTTCCAGGCAGTGTGAGCGTGTATAACGTGGTTGTTGTATTTCCAGGCAGTGTGAGCGTGTATAACGTGGTTATTGTATTTCCAGGCAGTGTGAGCGTGTATAACGTGGTTGTTGTATTTCCAGGCAGTGTGTGTATAACGTGGTTGTTGTATTTCCAGGCAGTGTGAGCGTGTATAACGTGGTTGTTGTATTTCCAGGCAGTGTGAGCGTGTATAACGTGGTTTTTGTATTTCCAGGCAGTGTGAGCGTGTATAACGTGGTTATTGTATTTCCAGGCAGTGTGAGCGTGTATAACGTGGTTGTTGTATTTCCAGGCAGTGTGAGCGTGTATAATGATTCGTGGAGTGACCACCAGAAGAAGAGGTGGTTGCAGTTGATGTTCCTGCAGCGGGAGGAGGAATGCCTCCGTCAGCACCTCCTGGAGGTCAACACCACCTCCAGACTTTATCAGGAAGGTGAGTCTGACTCTCCTTACCTCACCTACCACCTCCCTCGAGAAGGTGAGGATACTCCAGCGCCTCTCTTCACTTCCACTCATTGTATCAACATTTACCCCCACCACAAAAGGTTGTATTTCATAGGTGTGAACATGTTCTCATTATCGTAATATGATGAACTTTGGTACCAGAATTTTGTCATAAAATTTAATTATTGACAACCTACCTCTCTCTCTCTCTCTCTCTCTCTCTCTCTCTCTCTCTCTCTCTCTCTCTCTCTCTCTCTCTCTCTCTCTGTGTGTGTACTCGCCTAATTATACTCGCTTAATTGTGGTTGCAGGGGTCGAAACTCGGCTCCTGGCCCCGCCTCTTCACTGATCGCTACTAGGTCCTCTCTCTGCTCCCTGAGCTTTGTCATACCTCGTTTTAAAGCAATGTATGGTTCCTTCCTCCACTACATCACTTGCTAGACTATTCCACTTTCTGATGACTCTGTGACTGAATAAATACTTCTTAACATCCCTATGACTCGTCTGAGTCTTCAGCTTCTAACTGTGACCCCTTGTTTCTGTGTCCCCTCTCTGGAGCATCCTGTCTCTGTCCACTTTATCTATTCCACGCAGTATTTTGTATGTCGTTATTATGTCTGTCGTTATTATGTCTCTCCTGTCCTTCAGTGTCGTCAGGCCGATTTCCCTCAAAATTTCTTATCAGGACATTCCCCTGAGCTCCGGAGGTAACCTTGTTGCAAACCTTTGCACTTTCTCTAATTTCTTGACGTGCTTGACCAGGTGTGGGTTCCAAACTGGTGTTGCATACTCCAGTATGGGGCTGACGTACACAGTGTACAGTGTCTTGAACGATTTCTTACTAAGGTATCGGGACGCTATTCTCAGGTTTGCCAGGCGCCCATATGCTGCAGCAGTTATCCGGTTGATGTGTGCTTTCGGAGATGTGCTCGGTGTTATAGTCGCCCCAAGATCTTTCTCCTTAAGTGAGGTTTGCAGCCTTCGTCCACCCAGCCTATTCTCTGCGGTCTTCTTTGCCCTTCCCCAGTCTTCATGACTTTGCATTTGGCGGGGTTGAATTCGAGAAGAAAGTTGCTGGACCAGCTGTCCAGTCTGTCCAGGTCTCTTTGTAGTCCTGCCTGATCCTCATCTGATTTAATTATCCTCATTAACTTCACATCATATGCGAACATGCACACTAATGAGTCTATCCCTGCCATGTCATTCACATATACCAAAAATAGCACTGGTCCTAGGACTGACCCCTGTGGGACCCCGCTCGTCACAGGCGCTCACTGTGATACCTCATCAAATACCATGACTCGTTGTTGCCTCCCTGTCAGGTATTCTCTGATCCATTGTAGTGCCCTTCCTGTTATACTCGCCTGATCCTCCCGATTCTGCTCTAATCTCTTGTGATGAACTGTGTCGAAGGCCTTACTGCAGTCCAGGAAAATGCAATCAACCCAACCCTGTCTCTCGCGTCTTACTCCTGTTACTTTGTCATAAAATTCCAGAAGGTTTGTGACAGGATTTGCCTTCCATGAATCCATGCTAGTTGTCGTTTATAATCTTGTTCCGTTCCGGGTGCTCCACCACTCTCCTCCTGATAATCTTCTTCGTGACTTTGCATACTATACACGTCAGTGACACTGGTCTGTAGTTTAGTGCCTTGTGTGTGTGTGTGTGTGTGTGTGTGTGTGTGTGTGTGTGTGTGTGTGTGTACGTGTACTCGCCTAGTTGTAGTTGCAGTGATTGAGTCATAGCCCCTGGCCCATTTGTGTGTATATACGTATGTGTGTGTTTCCTTCACTCTAAGCACGTTAAATTCATGAAGTCAGACAATCTCTGGACATACGAAGATAATGTCATCAAGCCCAGATGTATATTCTGAGCGCGGGAGTATGATAAAGCAACACAGGAGCATGCCAGTGGACTGTCACCACAGGAGCATGCCAGTGGACTGTCACCACAGGAGCATGCCAGTGGACTGTCACCACAGGAGGATGCCAGTGGACTGTCACCACAGGAGGATGCCAGTGGACTGTCACCACAGGAGGATGCCAGTGGACTGTCACCACAGGAGGATGCCAGTGGACTGTCACCACAGGAGGATGCCAGTGGACTGTCACCACAGGAGGATGCCAGTGGACTGTCACCACAGGAGGATGCCAGTGGACTGTCACCACAGGAGGATGCCAGTGGACTGTCACCACAGGAGGATGCCAGTGGACTGTCACCACAGGAGGATGCCAGTGGACTGTCACCACAGGAGGATGCCAGTGGACTGTCACCACAGGAGGATGCCAGTGGACTGTCACCACAGGAGGATGCCAGTGGACTGTCACCACAGGAGGATGCCAGTGGACTGTCACCACAGGAGGATGCCAGTGGACTGTCACCACAGGAGGATGCCAGTGGACTGTCACCACAGGAGGATGCCAGTGGACTGTCACCACAGGAGGATGCCAGTGGACTGTCACCACAGGAGGATGCCAGTGGACTGTCACCACAGGAGGATGCCAGTGGACTGTCACCACAGGAGGATGCCAGTGGACTGTCACCACAGGAGGATGCCAGTGGACTGTCACCACAGGAGGATGCCAGTGGACTGTCACCACAGGAGGATGCCAGTGGACTGTCACCACAGGAGGATGCCAGTGGACTGTCACCACAGGAGGATGCCAGTGGACTGTCACCACAGGAGGATGCCAGTGGACTGTCACCACAGGAGGATGCCAGTGGACTGTCACCACAGGAGGATGCCAGTGGACTGTCACCACAGGAGGATGCCAGTGGACTGTCACCACAGGAGGATGCCAGTGGACTGTCACCACAGGAGGATGCCAGTGGACTGTCACCACAGGAGGATGCCAGTGGACTGTCACCACAGGAGGATGCCAGTGGACTGTCACCACAGGAGGATGCCAGTGGACTGTCACCACAGGAGGATGCCAGTGGACTGTCACCACAGGAGGATGCCAGTGGACTGTCACCACAGGAGGATGCCAGTGGACTGTCACCACAGGAGGATGCCAGTGGACTGTCACCACAGGAGGATGCCAGTGGACTGTCACCACAGGAGGATGCCAGTGGACTGTCACCACAGGAGGATGCCAGTGGACTGTCACCACAGGAGGATGCCAGCGGACTGTCACCACAGGAGCATGCCAGCGGACTGTCACCACAGGAGCATGCCAGCGGACTGTCACCACAGGAGCATGCCAGCGGACTGTCACCACAGGAGCATGCCAGTGGACTGTCACCACAGGAGCATGCGACACACACAGGATTCACTGTGCCTCTCATATAGATAAATTGAAATCATTAATGCATTTAAGCGGGAAACACTATATCGCTTTGTATGTTAACAAAAGATTGTTCCGTATGCTCGTGTGTATTAACCGGGGGAATTGTTCTGTATGGCCGTGTATAAATTGCATATAAATATTTAAGCTGAGTTTGTCGTCACATAAGAGATGTGTAATTCACTATCAAAATTTATTCGTTTGATGATATACGGTTTTTTTTTTTTTTGAGTGGGGTTACGGGAATATTATTTAATGTGTAGCTGCGCCAGAGGGCGCGCATGCATGCTCCAGGCAGTGTGTTCACTGTGGAGCTCCAGGCAGTGTGTTCACTGTGGAGCTCCAGGCAGTGTGTTCACTGTGGAGCTCCAGGCAGTGTGTTCACTGTGGAGCTCCAGGCAATGTGTTCACTGTGGAGCTCCAGGCAGTGTGTTCACTGTGGAGCTCCAGGCAGTGTGTTCACTGTGGAGCTCCAGGCAGTGTGTTCACTGTGGAGCTCCAGGCAGTGTGTTCACTGTGGAGCTCCAGGCAGTGTGTTCACTGTGGAGCTCCAGGCAGTGTGTTCACTGTGGAGCTCCAGGCAGTGTGTTCACTGTGGAGCTCCAGGCAGTGTGTTCACTGTGGAGCTCCAGGCAGTGTGTTCACTGTGGAGCTCCAGGCAGTGTGTTCACTGTGGAACTCCAGGCAGTGTGTTCACTGTGGAGCTCCAGGCAGTGTGTTCACTGTGGAGCTCCAGGCAGTGTGTTCACTGTGGAGCTCCAGGCAGTGGTGTTCACTGTGGAGCTCCAGGCAGTGTGTTCACTGTGGAGCTCCAGGCAGTGTGTTCACTGTGGAGCTCCAGGCAGTGTGTTCACTGTGGAGCTCCAGGCAGTGTTCACTGTGGAGCTCCAGGCAGTGTGTTCACTGTGGAGCTCCAGGCAGTGTGTTCAATGTGGTGCTCCTCACGGCTCTGGTACTGACAGGTGGCTTACATGGTTCTCGATTCACTGCCCTGATTCTACTTTCCTCTGCCCTGGTCAGTACGCTTCTCTCCACTCTGTGGTTCCAAAGATCCAGCAGTGACTCTTCCATCTCCACGCTAGACTTCTGGAATTTCAGTTATGTTGGTGCCCCCGGGCCATGTTGGTGCTCCTGGGTCATGTTGGTATCCCGGGTCATGTTGGTGTCCTGATCATGTTGGTGCTCCCGGGCCATATTGGTGTCCCGGACCATGTTGATTTCCCGGGCCATGTTGGTGCTCCCGGGCCATGTTGGTGCCCCTGGGCCATGTTGGTGCCCTTGGGCCATGTTGGTGCTCCCTGGCCATGTTGGTGCTCCCGGGCCATCTTGGTGCCCTTGGGCCATCTTGGTGCTCCCGGGCCATGTTGGTGCCCTTGGGCCATCTTGGTGCTCCTGGGCCATGTTGGTGCCCCTGGGCCATGTTGGATCCCATGGGCCATCTTGGTGCTCCCGGGCCATGTTGCTATCCCGGAAAATGAACGGGAAGACGGCTAGGCAGTGTCTGGTGTTTTGAGTTCACTCGACAGTAAACTTCAAAGCCTCAGAAAGTTTCGGACCACATAGCTATGTTCTTGGAAGGTTACAGGCCTGGAGGGCCCTACACAAGAGTCACACAGGGTTGGTAAGTGACGGATGTTTAACTATCTCCAACGGAAATCGGCATTTCGAGACAACTCTGTTGACTGAGGATAGAGCACACACA